TAGTGAAGCCCATGGCTTTGTCCCTCTCTGGGAGCCCCTCTCTGCAGGTAACTGTGTGTTCTGGGGACTGCCGCCAACGCCCCTGTCTCTGGGCACGTGTTTTCTCTGCAGCTCCTCATTAATCCATTCAGCAGTCTCATCTGAACCTCTTTTCAACAACCAGAACCCCCTAAGCCAGCTTGCGGAAGGACTGCAAATGAGGTGGGCTTCAGGGTCAGGCCAAGGGAAGACTCTCAGGATGGAGGGAAGGGGGCTGGGCAGGGGAGACACTGGGGAAAGCAAGCAGAAAAATCCCCTGTGCTCAGAAGTGGCTCTTCCTCCAGGAGGCTGGAGTGGGAAGGAGCTGGTTTAGAGAGGCACCACCTTCTCTGTGCAGGCCTGGATCTCAGGAGTGGCCCTCCGCTTCTTCCCAGCAAATTCTGATTCCCAGTCAAGAGACAGCTGTCAAACATCCTCCGGGTATCAGACAGTGTGAAGAGAGCTTCTACTTCCATTTAATTCCCCCAGTCGCCCCTGGAGTTAAAGATGATTGTCCCCATTTTATAGATGAGGAAATTGAGGCTCAGAGAGCTAACGTCACTAGTCCCGAATCACAAAGTCAGTAAGGCTTGAACCCAGGTCTATCTGACTCCAAACCCAGGGTTCTGTCCCCAGCAGCCCACCTAAGCAGCCCCATGTTCTGGTCATAGCACATTTATAATTTCAGTGGGATAGTCAATGCGTGTCCACTTTCCTTCTGGGAGATCAGCAAAGTTAGGGTCTCTTTTTTGGATCTGGGAAATGCATGCTTTCAGAGGGAAGGGAAAAAAAGAGACACAATCAAGTCACTTTCAATTCTCTGTTTTCCTTCTTGCTTGTTTGATCTTGAAAGCAATTGTGCTTTGTCGACTTAACGGAACTCTGTTCTAAACCCTTTTGCTCACTAAACATTTGCAGATCTTGAAGACATTCTCCCAACCCCAGAAGCCCTTTATGGGTTCACAGGGCTCGAGCCCCACAGCTGCCTCTGACCCGCTATGCGACCTCGGGTGCTTGAGGGCACCTCCCTGGAGTTCAGGAAGGGACTGAGAGTGAGACTATCAAAGCGCAACCTGAAGAAGAGGAGCCTGTAGGAAACCAAGGGAACAAATATAAAGCAGTAACTAAGGGTCCATTACTCGGGCAAAATTGTAAATATCAGTGGAATAGATCAGAAATCACAAATAAACCCAACCACATATAAAAACCAACCAAATGATAAAATTTCTCAATGTATAAAGGAAAGTTTTTTCTTTTGTTTTGTTTTGGTGAGGAAGATTGGCCCTGAGCTAACATCTGTGCCCATCTTCCTCCACTTTACATGGGACGCCGCCACAGCATGGCCTGACAAGTGGTGTGTTGGTGCACGCCCGGGATCCGAACCTGCGAACTCCAGGCCGCGGAAGCGGAGCACGCGCGTGTTATTAACCACTTGCACCACCAGGCCAGCCCCTAAAAGATTTCTTAATAAATGATGCTGGCATAACTGGATAGGAATAAGATCTAGATGGAGTAAAGGGATGTGACTTTTTTTAAATCATAGAAAAAGTAGTAGGAAATAGAAGCTCATATTTATGAGAGCTGAAGAGGGAGGAAAGCTAGGTCCAAAGCAATAGATGGAATCAGGAAGGAAAAGCCCAACAGATGTAACTATAGAAAAATGACACTTTTACTACGGTATTACGCTACAACAGCAGATTAATACTTATGGTAACTTTAAAATCTAATATTTAGGAAAATCATTAAGATCCCAAAGACATGAAAAGACAATTCCCTCAAGCAGAAGTTCAAATGGGAAACAAATACATGGGGCATCTGGGGCTTGAAGTGAAGATCTTCAGGTTTCTGCTGCTGTAACTTCTGGAACCTATGGGGAAGAATTGGGGAAAGGGTGAGGAGGGCTGGCAGGCTACACCCCTGCTTGAGCAGATGAGACAAATGCCCAGAATGCCGGGGGTCTGGGTAAACTTCCAAGGGACTGCAGTCACCTGTTTTCTTCACCTCCAACTCCCACAAAAGGTATCCTGACCATTTAGTTGAGGGGCGGCCACACAGGACGAAAATGCCAAGGTAGTGGCTTCTAGCCTTGGGATCCCATTAGCTTCACGCTGGGTCAAAACTACTCTACATGTTGAAGAATCAGACAGCATGGAGGGACCGGTCCAATTCCATCCCTAACACCTGGGCAAAGGTCCCAGCAGATCCCAGTTTGAAACCAGGTGACCACTGGTTCCCCAGGAGGGAAGGAGGACTGACTGGGACCAGCCTCCCATCCTACTGACCTCTGGAAGGTCAACTCCGGGATCACATCAGCTTGCAGGGACTCGGACAGGTGTGGTGTGAAGCCAGCCCCATTCACCACAGTTTGACCCATCAGGGCGGTCTATTTCTGTATGAAATGGTGGGGAGGCTGCCTGCAATCCCCAGCCAAATGTTCTTTCCTAAGTGCACCAAGTTCACCAATCACCAAACCCTACCTTTAAGCAGGCCCAGAGGAAGAGCAGGGAGGATACAACACTTCAGCTTTCTGAATAACCTGGCATCCTTCTGAAGCTGTGTGTCCATTTGGAAAGCTTCATATCTACTCTTCATTCAGCCCTATCAGGGGAATGAGGCAGGCCGGGCTGCACAAAGGAGGGGGAACGAACACAGAAGGACTGGATATCTGCCAGAGGGCAAGCCCTGCTCACGAGCAGCTCTCCTTAAATGCAAAGCACCGTTAGGAAGGAAGAAGACAGAAATGGGCTTCTAATGCCACCTGAGGGATGGGGAGGAGACGTAAGGCAGAAGCTATTGTGAGAAAAAATTGTTTGTCCAGAGCCAGCCCTGACGGCCTATTGGTTAAAGTTCGGCGCTTTCACTGCTTCGGCAGCCCAGGCTTGGTTCCTAGTCGAGGAACCACACCACTCGTCTGTCAGTAGCCATGCTGTGGCAGCGGCTCACATAAAAGAACTAGAAAGACTTACAACCAGAATATACAACTACGTCCTGGGGCTTTGGGGAGGGAAAAAGAAAGAAAGAAAAAAAAAAAAAAGAGGAAGATTGGCAACAGATGTTAGCTCAGGGCGAATCTTTCTCAGCAAAAAAAAAAAAAAAAAAAAAAAAAAATTGTCCACAGTAAGTTTGGAGAGTTTCTTTCCTAGAATTAATTTTGTCTGTCGGAAATGGTTTCTGGGTGGGCCTTCCCAGAAGCAAAGGGATGCTCTTTGTGACATCCAGGATTTCCCTCCAGTAGGAGAAACTGGATTTCACAGACGACTCACTAAGATTACGTGCCACACATTCTCTCTGCTCCCTCCAGTTCCAAATTCTTCCTACTAAAAGTTTGCTTCTATTCACCCAAATAGTTCGTTTTAAAATATAAACACATACACAGGGACTGGCAAAGGAAATTAATCAAATGAGAAAGACAGAGAGAAAAAGACTGATACACTTTGTTCTAGGTTCTGATTCTAAATCTGGCAGGAGGTGTGAGGGGCTGGCAGCTTGCTGGTCGTGGTATCAGTGGCAGCAGGCGTCTCCCTCCTGCCTCAGGGCATCAGGCCAGCAGCTGCTGTACTCTTAGGAGCCAGAGGGAGAGTGGGTGGCACTCGGGAGCAGAGGGAGAGATGCACTACATGTGGTTTGAGACGCTCCTCAAACCACAGCCAGGCCTTGTGTTAATGTGGATGACACCCCCAAATTCCCACCCCAGGACCACCATGTCTTTCAAGCTGCAATTCCATGTCTTCAGTCCTACTTGGGCATCTACATTTAGCTGGCTCCTCAAAGTGAACTTGTTTAAAACCAAAGTTGTCATTTTTGCCAACCTCCCACCCTGACTTTTCCTTTTCTCCTAGGTTCAGAATCTCCAAGTTATATATGTGGTTCACCTCATCTATTCAGGTCTAGAAAGATCTTCCAATTTTCCCATCGCCATGTCCCTCTTCCTTTCCATTCTTACTGTCATCTTTCAAGTCAAGGTGCTTGTGTCTATTCACTGTGGTAGGCTCCTGCAATCCACCTCACCTCCATCCCACTATCACACAGGATCTTCCCAAAGCATTGGTTGGATCCTGTAACAAACCTGCTGAAAAACTTTCAAAGGCTTTCCCTGCCTACAAGAGGATAAGGTCTGGTCCAAGCTACTTTTTCAGCTCTATGTCCCTCTCCAACCCAACACATTCCCTCTGGCCCGAACAGACTGTTCTCTTCAAGTTGCACAAACTTTATGGCACAATCATTCTGACCCCAGGACTGCAGTGCTCATGATTCCCACCCACTGAGACATCTCTTGCCTCCACTCCTGCATCGTGGACTGGGCTGGGAGAAGGAATTACACAACAGCACTCAACACGAGTACCCAACCAAGAAAAGAACGATTTCCTTGCTGAAGGTCAGCTGTCCATCTCCACATTCTACAGCTGGCACTCCCAACTCCATTCCCCACACCTGGACTCTAGGCATTGCAAACAATCACATCCTATTTTCTATAACTCCCCAATTCCTGCTGCAAAATTAAAGAAGAGTCAGATTTCAAAAGAGCCCGTATTGTGAGTCACCCTCCAAGGATGGCAGGGATTTGACTTCAGGGTGGCCATGGATCTTTGATAATGGAGGTAGAAGAGGAGAGGGGATGTTAACCTAGGCCCTTCCCCCACCTCCCCAGCCTCACTGCAATCCCCTGGCATGCAGAGAACGTCCCAGGCTTTCAATATGTATTGTCCAATTTCTGCATGGTATAAACCCAGCTCTGGTGAAGCAGAGTTGGGAGGAGGAGGGAGGGAAGGATCTCTCAGGGGAGCCCACCGCCTACTCCTGAAACCTGGAGAGCCGTGGAGAGCAGTATCGTTCAGTCCCCGAGATACACTAAGCCACACCCCCTCCCCACGTCATCATCTCAGGAGTGCAGAGCTAGGGAAGCCCACGCAAGCAGGGAGACTGATTAAGGGGAAGACTGGGGTGGGGGGGGTAGGATTTGAGGGATTTAACTGCTCACATACCTGATCAAACAGGACTTTCCAGTGCTGGTAGAGAGGGAGGCCATGCAGGAGAGGAAGAAGAGGAGAGAAAGAAAGAAAGACTTATCACCAAGGCCTCTGTGGCCCCCTGATGTTTCTGACTTAGCCTCCCAGCTGCTGCCCAGGCTCAGGAAACCACCACAAGAGACCAGGGAAAACCTGGGAAGAGCTCCCCAAACGAGTCTGCACTGAGCAAAGGGAGGGAACTCAGGCCGGGGGAGGAATGAGGGTCGCCCTCTTTCTGAGACAGGTAGGCAGAGCGATGAGCAGAACAAGGGTGAGTCTCAACAATTACTAGATAAAGGGATCCGATTCTGTCCAAGGGCCTCTAATAACTTCTAATAAAACTAAAGCTTACGTCCACGTCTACTCCCGGGTCTGGGAACGCATGCCCAAGTGCAGTTCCGCCAGACCTGCTGTGGCGTCTCCACCTGCCAGGTCCGGAGACGTCTACTCAGGAAAACTCACCCCTGCATAAGCACTAGCATTTAGCCTGCAGTTTGGGAGGAGAGGGCTCCCGAACGCACTGAAACCCACCCAGTCTCTTCAAAGCCTGAGTCTAAGTGGTGAGTACATGAGATTCTACCAGGGCTTTGCGGCCAGAAGCAAGTGACAGGCTTAACCACGGGAGCCAAAGAGAGGGAAGATGTTAAGCTCCCCCGGGGCCCATTCAGACTTTCTGGCTTCGGTTTGGTAGGCTGGGGGGCCTGGCTTCACTTCCATCTCCCACCCTGAGAGAGGGACGGGGCAAAGTGTCTGCCCAGTTTTTCACCACTATTTGCAGGTTAACCTCGGGAGGGAGAATCTTAAGAAACTCCAGCTCCCCGGGCTCCCCAGTGCCCGCTCCACCGATGGCTCCCAGGACCGGAGAGAGGGAGACTGGGGCAGTAGATGGCAGGGAAGCCCTCGGGGGGAGCCCCTCCCCATGCTCGCCCAGGGGACCGTCGCTGGCACCGACGCGGTCTGGGACTCCTGAGCCCCTTTCTGGGGGTAAAACCGTTCCCAGTGCTCCTCTCCCTCCTCCAGCCGGGTTCAGGGACAAGGGCCAGCTTGAATTTCAATCAGTGTCGCGACAGGGCAGGTGCCGGGCGGGAGCTAATCCGGGAGCGAAGAAGGGGGTCGCCAGACCGGTCTGCGCTGCCGGGTTCCGGGGACTCTGCGGCGCCCGCTCCTTCCCCGGGCTCGGAGAGCCCGCAGGTCGCGAGCGGGAGGGGAGGGGAGCCACTGCTGTGACGCGGCTGCCTCTGCGGGAAAACGCCGTGTCCCGGGCACTGCACCAGCCGCGGAGAGGGGGCTCCGGCGGCCGACAAGTCCCCAGCGCAGCTGCGGCGGCTGTGTCCCGCAGGGAAGCCGTGAGCGCCCGAGAGGCGGGTGGCGCGCGCGTTTGGGGGAGACCGGTCCCTCCGCCCCCTCCCGCCCGCGGGGACCCGGCCAATCCGGGGCGCTCCCGCGTCACCTTGAAACCTCCAAGTTGCCCCGAGGGGCGAGACGGGGGCAGCTCTCCCCTAGTGCCCCCCAGAAAGTTTGCCCGGGCGGGGGAGGGAGCACTCACGTCCTCCGGCGCAGCGGGCGGCCGCTCCTCGGCCTCGGGTTCCAGCTCCTCGATGCGCTCCGCCTCGGCGCAGGCGGCCACTGCGGGGCTCGGGCTGGGGTGCTCGCCCATGCCGAGGCGGCGTCCAGAGGCGGCCAGCGGCTGCGGGGCTCGTCCCGGGGCGCCGGCCTAACTTTGCGCCGCGGTGGCCGCGCCGCTCGGGGGGCTCTGTGCGCGCCACGCCGCCTCCGCGCCAGCGCAGCAGCCCGCGCCAGCCCCCATGGCCCTGGCCCCCGCGCCGCTGTCTCGCGACCCCGGGACACCCGGCCCCTCCGCCGCCAAACTTCTCCGCGCTCGCGGCCCCGCCCGCCTCGACCTCCGCCCCGGCCCCCACGTCCGGCTCCGAGGCGAGGGCGCCCTTGGGCCGGCCCCGGCCCCGGCCCCGCAGCTCTCCGCGCTCCCTTCTCGCTTCCCGCGGCCCCCGCTCTGCGCCCGAGTCTCCTCCTCCCCACGGACTCCTCGCGGGCGGCGCGCAGGCGGGGGCGGGGCTGCTCCCGGGGACTGCCGTCCCCCGCCCCCCCCACCCCCGGGCGCCACCATCCGGGCCAAATCGGTCAGAGCGGCGCGGCCGGGGGGAGGGGGGGGCTGCGGCGGGGTTGGCGGAGAAGCGGCTGCACGGCCCGTGGCTGGGATGGCTCTGCGCTGTCCTCGGCCCCATCAGCACCAGTCTCCGCCCCAGGTCCGGGTGCGTCTCTCCGCACCAGGCCGGGGGGTGCAGTGCCCACTTCCCGAGACCTACTGGGTGAACGAACACTTGGAGGCAGCAGATGCACGGAGGCAGGGGCGAGGTTTTCACTAAGTTGGCAACGTCGGGGTTAACTGGGAGTCAGTTGGGGGCGGAATGCTGGGAGGACTGGATCCCGAGACCACGCTTTCAATCTCTCTTCGCTTTGGTCTCAGATTCTGGGAGGTCCAGGCAGGCCCAGTAATTTAGAGATGGGAGAAGTCAGATAGGGGAATCCCCGAACCCTAAATCTTGTTCTCCCTACACCCAGAGCTCTAGGACGGTGCCCTGGCTTCATTTGACCAGGCTGACAAAGGGAAGGCCAGGGAAGTGCCCCAGCTGGGAGGGGGGAGGTGAAGAAACTAAAGCTAGTAGGAATGAAGTTAGAGCAAAGAAACGGGAGATCTAGAAAGAAAAAATTTGGAGCTGTTTCCCTGCAGGAAAGACCTCCCAGGAGAGACTGTCTCCCCCAGCAGAGGCTCTGCCTGTAAACGGTGCCTGTGGCTGGCTGGGACAGGTGCTCAGCTCTCCCAGGAGGCTCAGGGACTCATTCCTGGTGATGTCTCACAGTCAGTCCCCAGCCCACACCAGGGCTGTCCTCTTCCCTCCTCTTCCCACAAGCCACTCACTCACTCACTACTCACTGGCCTTTGCTCCTCTCTCTCTCTCTCTCTCAGAAACGAGGCTGTCTTCCGATAGTGCAAGTTGCAATTAATGCTCTCACCTCCATAAAGCAAACACATAACCCCAGCCCCAGGATCCAACCTGTGACCATCTCACCCGACAATGACTGCTCTCCTTAAACAGACAGAAGGAAATTAACTCCGCTCTAATTAGGTGAGCTTGCTACAGACACTAATTCTCATCTCAGTTTCGGAAAGTGTCATCATTTCAACTATTTTTGTTTCTCACCACCCTCCTCCCATCCCTACTCTACTAACAAGTCAAGATCCTGCCAAGATTTCCTTGTAAATAAAACTGTCGGCATAGGGTGTGATTTTGAAAACAGCCTTCAGGGGACAGAAGAGAGGCTGACTCCTTTGTGGAAAGAAGCCCAAAAGGACCAGAGGTGGCATGGGGCCCTGAGGTCAGTGTCACTGCCTCCCCCCAACCCCCAATATCATTTCCAGGAGCGGCATGGGTGTGACTTAGATCTTTGGGACTGGAGACCTGGGCCAGTGAGTGAGTGGTTCCAGGGGAGGGGGAGGAGACAGACTCAGAGCGGGGTTGACCACTCTGCAGAGATGTCCAGAGCCCTGGGCAGTGTTCTGACCCCAGCTGCCCTTTGGATTCTGCCTCTTCTCCAGTCCCAGGACAGCTCTCATCAACACATCCAGCTCTGTGATCCTCTCAGGTGGAAGGAACCTCAGCCGGCTCAGTTCAGTTCCTTGAACATTTATTGAGCTCTTACTAAGTGCCAGTGACAGAGCTCTGGGAATACAGAGGTAGACAAGACCCAGACCCTGTCCTCCAAAAACTGTTTAATTGCGGGTGACAGCCAGGGAAGCCCTGGGGGTGTAGAAACCCAAAGAAGGGGGTCCCTGTGGGTCCAAGATGGCTTCCCAAAGGATATGCCCCCAGACCAGGCAAAGTGGGAAAGCTGGAGGGGAGGCATTCCAGGCAGAGGGAAGAGCATGGGCAGAGGCTGGGCTTGTGAAGTAGCAGGTGTGGGAGGGGAACTACAAGCAATTTGGCATGGCTGGAAATTGGAGCAATGTGCCCAATATAAAGAGCCCAGCCTGAAGGGAGGGTTTGAAGGGCTGTGAGTTTCATGAGAAAAGAGCTTGGACTTTACTGTAAGGATAATGGGGAGCCATTGAAGGATTATGAGCAGGACAGTAATATTTAAAAAGATCCCTCGGGCTGTGGTGTGGAAGACAGACAGAAGGGAGGTTGGCCTGAGCATAGGGAGATAGGAGATGCTGTTCAACGAAAGGTCATGAGGACAGCAGCAGTTAGAATAAAGGGGAGAGAGAGCATCTGAGAAGTATCCAGAAGGGTATCTTGTTCCTCTGTCTGCCTTAGGAACATTTCACCCCTCCTTGGCCACAGTGTTTTCAAAAGTCTCCTAGGAGAGAATTCCTGACCTCTAACCAGAAGCCTCTCTTCAGGAGATTGCTTCCCTTTCCCTGACCCCTGCTGGAAGGAGACTGGCCATCTGGACTTGGAGATGAGTTGTGACATCCAACATCCTCTGTGAACCTGAGGCCACACTCTCACCTTTTGCTCTCAGCCTGGTGTTGCCTCAGCCTCGCCAGCCAGCCCATTCCACCTCTCGGCCCCAGGGGAATCTGCAACGGGGTACAACCCACTCCCCAGCAGGCAGTGGGACAGGGGGCCTGGGGCCCAAGGCCTGAAACCTTTGAGGGATGGGAGTGGCCAGGCTATCTGATAGCTTTTGTCCCATTTCAACCGAAGACAACCTGAGGACCAGCCATTCTGTGCCATATTGGGGACAAAGGAGGGAATGGGCACGGTGCCTACTCACTTTCACTGATTGGCTGCCATGGGCCAGGCCCCTGTAGATGCCTTGGGGTGACTGCACATGGGCCCTGCCCGCAGAGAACTCAGGGCTAGTGAGAGACGACAGCAAGCAAGGGCTGTTTGCCATTTATACCCTGTTCTTCATTTTGTAAGCGCTCCACACCCACAACCTCTTTTAAAGTTCCTATCAAGACACTCTAAATCAACACAGAACAGGATAAGAGACTGGGAGAGAGCAGTTCAGATTCCAAAGGTCAAACTCAGTTGGGAGGTGCAGGGGCGTGTTGTTGAGATGAGCCTTGAAAGACGGGGCAGCTTTGGGGCAGAGAGTGTGGAAGCGTTTCTGGGTGGAGGGAACCACTGCAGCAAAGATACAGAGACAGGAAAGCCACTGACTGTGTTGGAAACAACTACCTGGGTGAGCACAAAGTGGGGATGGCCAGGTGGGTGAGAACCAGGTCGCGAAAGCTCGAGTGCCAGTCTGAAGAGGCTAGACCTGGCTCCATGGGCGATGGAGAAGTGGTGGGGGCTTCTAACTGGAGCAGCATTTTAGGAAGATTAAGTTGGCAGCAGCTCAAGAGTGCAATTCAGCCAACACACTGCGAGTGTCCATTATTTGCCAGACCCTGGCAGAGGTGCTGAGAATACAAAGGGAATAAGACCAGGGCCCTGGCCTCCTGGGAGAAAATTAGATAATCCTCTAATTACAGCCCAGTGGGCTAGGGGAGGAAGGGAGAGGGAAGAGCTGCTTGGGGGCTGAGTCTCTAAGGTGCACCGACCAAGGCAGGGAGTTTTTTTTTAAGGATCTGATGTTCTGAACCTGGGGGGCTAGAACAATGGGGCTGCCATTGGTGAACCAGGAAAGCCAGAAGGAACCACTGGGAGAGGGAAGGGGGAGTGAGGGGAGCCGAGGAGTTTGTTTGTGGACAATGTGAGCTAATGAGAAGCCAAGGAAGAAACATTAAGGGCTGTAATTACCGCTCAAAGCAAATGGCAGCGCTGAGCAGGGGGTGAACGGGGGTGACTTTTTCTCCAGAACCTCTCCTGCTTCGGCCTCTTTTTCAACAACACTTTCCCATTCTGATGTCTCCCTCACCGGGCCCACGCCCTTCAAGGCCCCCTCTCTCCCCAAAGCAAACCTAAACTGACCCCTCGGCCTACGAGGAGCTCGTCTTCTGAGAAACCTCCCAACAGCCCTGAGCTGCCACCGTTTGCCTGCCTGAGATGAAGACATGAGTTATTTTTGACTGAGATCCAAGCCCCGGCCCTGAATTCTTCTGTCTTCCAGGAATCCCCCAGTTGTGTTTGAAGTCTGCAAGTCCGAACAGCGGACGCAGCCCAGGGAGGAGACCGCCACTTGGAATCCACCCACCCTCCATCCCCAGCTCCAGCATTCTTCCATTATTGCCCGCTGTCTTCGAGATCAAACGGAGCAAGACTGCCAAGCGGATTTTTTTCCTCCTTTCCTTTCGTCTCTTCCTCTCTCACTCCAGGGCCCCCAATTTTCCGAGTAACTTAAATCATTCCTGAAAGATGTCTAGGTTCACAGAGACCAAACCCTTTCAAAGAGAGGCGTGGGCACCCACAAGTGAAGCTCAGAAAAGCACAGAGGAAACTTTCCAGTCCAAGATTTAGCCAATCACATATTCAGGGAAACTATCAGCTGCTTTGCTGGGTCTCATCTTCCTCTCTGCCATCTCCTGGGGGCTTGGCTGGTCCCCAGGCTCCAGCTTCTGGATTCTCTTTGGGCCTCCGACACTCTGTGTGACCTGAGGTTATGCTACAGGTGGGTCCTGTCTCCTCAGTAAACAGCCTGGTCAGTCGAGCACATCTCTATGATGAATGCTCCCTCCTCCACGAAGCCCTTCTTCCTCACTCTCCAGCCCAAACGGACGACCCCTTCCTCTGAATCACTTTTTTCTTTTGACCTTGCATTATATTATCTATGTTTTATCTTCCTTATACGAGAAT